ATCTTTGCCCATCTTTTTTACCTTTAAACAATTTGGGTCTGAATCTAAAGTGTGTCTCCAGTAGATAGCATATTGTTGGATAATTTTTGCAATCTATTCTGCCAATTATTAAATATAATTACTTATAAGATAGAATTTATGTCTCCTATTTTGCTATTTGTTTTTTATTGATCATATGTTTTTTGTTAGTTTATTCTTTAATTACTGCCTTCTTTTGTGCTAAGTAGATATTTTCTGTGTACTAATTCAATTTCCCTTATTGTTTCTTTTAGTATATACACATTTTTAGTTATTTCCTTAGTGGTTGCCTTGAGAATTGGAACTAACATCTTAATTTTTAATAGTCTAGTTTGGATTAATATCAATTTAATTACAATAGCATACAAAATCTTTGTCCCTATATAACTCTATCCGTCTCCCCTTTCGTGCTGTTATTGTCACATAAATCACATTTTATATATTGTATGCCCATCAACACAGATTTATAATTATTGCTTCATGCAACTGTCTTTAAAATAAGATGGAAGAAAAGAGTTACAAACAGAAAATACATTTATACTGTCTTTTAGATTTACCTATGTAATGACGTTTACCAGGTTTCTATTTTTTCATGTGGATTTGAGTCACAGTCTAATGTCCTTCTATTTATCTGCTAGTGACCAATTCTCTCAGTTTTTACTTATTTGGGAATATCTTAAATTTCTCTTTCATATTTGAAAGGTGTTTTGCTGAATATAGAATTCATTTTGTTCAGGGGCGCCTGGGTGGCTCAGTCAGTTAGGCGTCTGCCTTCAGCTCAGGTCATGATCCCGGGGTCCTAGGATCGAGCTCCGCATCTGGCTCCCTGCTCAGCGGGAAGCCTCCTTCTCCCTCTGCTTGCCGCTCCCCCTGCTTGTGCCCTCTCTCTGTCAAATAAATAAATAAAATCTTTAAAAAAAAAAAAGAATTCATTTTGTTCATTGTTCTCTGGTTTGAGACTTGGGTGTTCTGATATCTCAGTTAAATGGTTTTGGCTACAGCTTACAGACCTGTCTAAAACTGGTCTAAATTATAAGGAGAGCTTTGCTCTCACATTACAAGAAACTCAAGAGGTAGACGACTGTGAACATTGTAGCTCCTCACCAATTTAACCATCTTGTCTCCTCCAGACAATCAGTAGGATTGTTAGTTCTCCACTACCTTGAAGTTAGAGGTAGCCATGGACTGACTTTAACCAAGAAATGTGAGCAGAAGTGACATGTGCATGGATGATCCAGTGTGCAATGCCCCAGCTTCCCACCCCCCCTTTCTTTATCCGTGTTGCCTAACAACTCCCGGTGGTAGAGCCAGGTCCCTGGTTGAGGAGGATGAGGACCTGGGCCCCAAGATGGACATGTCACATGAGCAACAAATAGACTTTTTTTGCTGTAAGGTTTGGGGGTCGTCAGGTACAGCTGCATAATTTTGCCTATCCTGAGTGATATCAGGGGCTCCCTGCACAGTCTGTCAGGCTTTGGATCCACATCTCAGTTATTCCCTTCGTGTTGGCTTCATGAAGTGACAGAGGCATTTTTGAGGATCGAGCTGATCCTGCCATCTTTATCCCAGGGATTTCATAGTCTGTATCTCTGTTCTGTATCTGGATTGGGGAGATCTATGAAAAGTATTACCATATGTGACAATAAAAATGCTTACAGCATAGGGAAACTTTATTTTGCTTTATGCAAAAAAACCTAGTTTTCATTTTTTCAGCTAATCCATTTGGAGATTCTTTCTAGTTCCTCAGTACGGAGCAGATCATCTCCATTGTGACCTTAGTTAAGGACATTTCTCAGAGTCTGAAACATGGAGGAAACAAAACTAGTATCTTGCCCAATCTGATGTGAAATATCCTATCAAACATGTGGTGGCATTTTCTTCCAAGAGATTAACTTGTGCTTTTTAAAAAACAACAACAAACCCCACATTATGTCCAGGACAGTGATGCAGGGATTTAATAAATCTTGCAGGCTGTTCTTGTATCCCCAAATCCTCCAAACATTTGCTAAGTAAATAAATAAATCAACAAACTGCCAGGTGTTAAATTACTAACACTAGACTTATGATTCATTTCTATCTTAAAACATTTTCTTTTCCTCCTTACTGGGTATTTCTGTTCTGTAACTTTAAAAGTCATGAAGTAGTTTTGTGTGTTAGCTTTCCTTCACTTAGGAGTGAAATGGAATCAAAAGTTATGCAAAAACTGCTGAGAGGGCCAAATGCTAAGAATATCTCGTAGGTTCCTTTGGATTTCTTTTATGGCATTTACTGTTTGCTTCTTACTGCACCTGACACATAATGATTTATTGAATAAATACTAATCATTTTTATAGGTTTTTGCACAGATGTTTCTCCCATGCTGCAAAACTGAGCAGAACAGCAAAAGTTGAAGAAAAATGTTGGCAGTTAATTGCATTCGGGATATAATGCAATTACTGCCATCAGCAGGTGGCAAATGCACTAACACTGTGAAGTTTTACAAGTCAGCTGTGCACTTGGAAGCATGGGGCAAAGTGGCTGCTGTTTCCCTGATGATTGACTGAGCCACACAACTGAATGCTAAGCAGAGAGACTTTTCAAGTTACATTGAGAAACATCATTTCCACAGTCAATGTGATGACAATGGAACTGAAAACAGGGATGACTGGAATTTGATATGAAGAAAACCCTAGCACCTAACATAGCACTGCCCAGCAGAAATGTAATACGGACCACACACGTAATTTAAAATTCTCTAGTAGCCACGTTAAAAAAAAAAAAAAAAAGCAAAAAGAAGCAGGTGGAATTATTATATTAGTATATTTTATGTAACCCAGTATATCCATGAAATTATCATTTTGGCATGCAGTCATTAGGAAAAAATGTTAATGAGATGTTTTACCTTTTTTGGGGGCGGGTATTTCAAGTCTTTGAAATTCAGTGTTTCAAAGCCTACATCTCGGTTTGGACTAGCCACATTTCAAGTGCTCGGTCACCTCCTGTGGCCACCACACTGGATGACTCAGAGAAACACACCCTTATAGGCATTAGAAGGCGAGATGACACTCTCTCGGGAATACCATAGTTAACAGGGAGCATGACCAGTTATCCGCTGATAATGTTCAGAGCTAGAGTCCCCAAATCTTAGGTACAGGACCTTTCCATCGTGCCTTTAAAGTAGGTTTTTAAGGATATACGTATAAGAATTATTAAATTTACACAAGGCACTTTCTTTGTAAACTTATTCAGATTGCAGGATGCAGAGCAAAGTTGTGTTTTTAATAAGAGTCAAGGTGAGTTTTTATTCATCTCTGTGCGGAAAAAAGTTGTAACTACATTTTGAACCATGCTGTGTCTTAGTACTTCAAGAGCAGTCTCAATTTTCTGTCCAAATTTAACTTAGAAATAGTGTCCTCCTTATTTCTGTTCCAGCCGTTGGTTTAGATAACTGGGCTTTCCGCTATTCTACCCAACCCACCCCCGCCCCCATGGCTGTAGGTCAAGGTCATGGTGGTGTTGGAGCTGAGGGCCCACTCTGTTACCAGCACTCGTGTGGTAAAGGAGGTGTGGCATAAGGTCATTATCCAGTTTGGATCCAACTCAAGTTAATGTTCTGGTTAATTTATTCTGATTCCTTTGAAGTCACAAATCCCACAGATGACTCCTACACTTCCCTTCAATGTGTCCACTCGTTGGGATTCCTTGGCTAGGTGTGATGGGTTCCCTGCTTCATGCCTTCTTCTTTCCATTACTTCTTGAGCACGTCCCCCTTTCCCCCCACCCACTGCCCATCCTGTGATTGAGTGTCCTCATCTAATAAACCACCTTACAGAGTTGTTCTGAGATTGGATGATACATGTAATGTGTCCAGAATAGAGACCAGAGTAGCACACAGTAAATGTGCAGACTAACCTACGCGCCCCACCCCTGCTCCTCCCGCCCCCCCCCCCCACACCATCCTGGCGCTGCTACTGCTGTTTTGTAAGACTCAGACTTCTCTCATCCCCTGGTTCCCTCTTGTCCATGTGCACCGCTAAGGAAACCAGCCTGTCGGAACAAGGCCACCCATCTTTTTGAGAAGTCGGGGGCTACACCAACACAGGAAGCCCTGCACCTGGCCATCTCCATGCTTGAGAAAGTCACTTCCCCTTTGACAGTCTCAGATTGCTCATCAGAAAGCGAGAAGCACAGGTCAGACAATGTCTAAGTTCCTTCTGGCTCTAACAATACATGAATCATTAAAAGGTGAGAATTCTAAATTCTGATGCAGCCCACTATTCCCTTAAATACGGTACTTCAATCTAGGATACAACCTTCTGACATTATGTTAGTCCAATCAGGTAGAAGCTTTCCAGAAACTCTACTTTCTGGGACATTTCATGAATTGGGTGGGGGTGTCAGGGGAAGGCGTTCATTATGTGTATACTTGTCTACAAATTTCAATATTACCAATTATAGAACTCCCACTACAGTACATAAAATGAAAGCTGTTTATAATTATAAATTTTCCCTTTCCTTTTTAAAAATTAGCATTTTTCCTTTTTTTAAAAAAACTTCTCACTATATACATTTGAGACTTATGAAAGAATGTACATAGCATATGTATAATTTATGAGACAAAATAAACACTGTGAGCCCAACATTCAGCTTTAAAATCGGAACACTGTCCATACCTTCATGTCTGTCCATCTTTCTCTCCTCTCCCATCACCTGCTTTTCTAACACCACTGCCCTGTACTCTGAATTTTATGTTTCTCATCCACCTGTTTTTGAAACATATGAATTTGCCACATGCGCAAGGTATCTTATTTAGTTTTGCTTGTTTTTGCAGCTTATGCAATGACATAGAGTATGTCATCGATGACTTCCTTTTTCTCACTTAATATATTGTCTCTGGGATTCATCCAGGCTCAGTTCAGTTGTGTCGTTCATTCATTTTTATATTGGCTTAAAAATCTACTGTGACAGCAAAACAGTTTATTTGGATATTCTTTTATTGACAGACATTTGCCTGGTTTCCAGTTTTTGTTTCTATGAGCTATGCTGCTGTGATCGTTCTTCTTGTATATCTTGGTGTACATGTGCAAGCTCTTTCCAAGGAGATATGCGTAGGAGTGGAATTGCTGGTACCGTGGGTATGCAAATATTCACCTGTATAAGACAATGCCAGTTGTTCTCCTGGTGGTTATAGATATTTAAACTCACTGAACAGCTCCTGTTATCAGACTTCTTCCTGTCACACCCCCAAGTAAGATACCATTTAGATCAGATATCAAGATAACTCCCTCCCATCCCAAGTAAAATACCAATAGGTAGGGAGTAAAATGCTACTTGTTCCTATTTTCATTTTAATCATTTATGAGGTTTATCATCTTTCATACTTACGAAATACTCAAGTTTCCCTCTCTGTAAAATGCCCAGTCATGTCTTTTACCTATTTTTTCTGAGGTTGCCCTTGTTCTTATTTATTTATAAGAATTCTTTATATATTCTGTATTCTACTCCACCAGTTGTATCATTGTAAATATCTTCTCCTAGTTTGTGCCTTGCCTTTTGAATTTTTTTTATGAAATCTTTTGACCAAAAGTTTGTAATTTTAATGTAGTTACATTTGTTAATCATTTCTCTTATGATCAGTACTTTTTAGGAACTCCTTTCCTACCTTGAAATGATAAGAATTATTTATATACATTTTTAAAATTTAAAGTTCTGCCTTAACATTTAAGTTCTTAAGCCACGTGTAACTTACTTTTGTATAAGGTGTGTGGTATAGATGTTTTTTTTTTTTCCCATATGGATAGACAGTTTTCTGTACCTTTTATAAAACAGTCCTCTTTCCCAGGCATTTGTGATATCATCTCTGTTCTTTCCAGAGATCTGTGTCTAGAAGCTCTACCATGTTGCCCTAGTAATGTTATCTATCCCTGCATGAATATCAACTTTCCTTCTTTACATAGTTGTAAAAATGTCTTGATAGTTTCCAGTTTCCATCACTACCTAATTGTTATTTTTTAAAGTGCCTTGGTTATTCTTGGGCTTTTTAATCTTTCATGAGAATTTCAGAATCAGCTTGTTGAGTTCTTAAAACATTAATTTTTGGTTTTTGGTAGATTTTAGATTTTGATAAAAATATTATTGAATCTATATCTCTATTTGGAGAAAGGTGACTTCCTTATGATACTGAGATTTTCTAACAGGGAACATGGTAGGTCTATCTATTAATTTGTCTCATTAGTATTTTCTAATAATTTTATAATTTTCTCCATAAAGGTCTTACACATCTTTTATTAGTTGTATTCCCAGGTGCTTTATACTTTTTGTTGAAACTGTAAAAAATTATATATTCTGTTTGTTGGCAAATTTGTATATTTATCTTATATTCAGTTGCTTTGTAAAACTCTCTCACCAACTCTAATACATTATATGTACATCATTTTGAGTTTTCTCTTAAAAAATCAAATCACATCATCATCTATGAACAGTTTGTTTCTATCTTTCCAATTTTTATTCCTTTTGTTTCTCTTTCTTATCTTACTACTCTGGCTAGGATCTCTAGTAAAAGGCTGAATAAGAGTATAGCAGAGCATCATTTTCTTGTTTCTCAAGAAAAATTCTTTTAAAATTTCAACATTAAAAATGTTAGCTCTAGGTTTTTGGTAGATAACTTTGTAAGTTTCAGAAATTCCTCCTTTTATTTTGATGAAAGTTTTTTTCTTTAGTTTTAAAGGGATGTTGAATTTTATACAGATTTTTTTCTGCATTATTTCAAATGTGGTCATTTAAAAGAACTTTAATTAGATAATGCAGTATATGATATTTACACATATTTAGATAATCCAGGTTAACTATAGAACTGTTAATATGTCAAAATTCTCAAAACCTATTTCCTTTGGTCTAAATCTATCACAGTGGCCCTAAAATTCAGATTTCGGGAGTGCCTGGGTGGCTCGTCTGTTGAGCATCCGACTCTTGATTTTGGCTCAGGTCATGATCTTGGGGTTGTGGGAT